AGTAGTCATGTTCAGGGCCACAGGTCTTTATTTTGTCTTCAGAATATGTACAGCAGTCTCAGGGTTATGTAGTAAGAGAACGGCAAGGGTTGGGGTCTCCCAGGCTGTCACTGTTTGGTTGTGGTCTATGTGATCGTTATCTTAGGCTGTTACTCCAGGATGGGCCATGGAAAGCTCATTTCCAACCGAAGTCTCCTATTTATGTGTACTTCAGTCCTTTGCCTTCAGTGTTAATCAGGCCTGCTGTTCCTAGGATCTCAAGAGCTCAGGGAAAAGGAAAAGAAGCAACACTGATATGACAGTTCTGGATCCTCCCTTACTACGTGATAGTTTGTTTCTTCTTATTTAACAGAGAAGTGGGCTCAATGTTCCTGGCAGTGTGGCCAGAGGAGGCCTCCATTCCTTCAGATGCAGCTGGGATCTCATCTTGTGCTGCCAGGAAGATTTGAGAAGAAGTCAGTAGGAAGCAAAGTTGGGGTACACAGCATAGGCATCAAGAGAAGAGGACACTTAGGTACCTTAGGAGCGCTTTTGTGTGTAATTTTGGAGGTTTGAAGTTATATCTGTTCAAAAGATAATCCACAGTTAAAGACTAAATAGTAACACGCCAATACAATAGGAAATTCCTCATTAATGACATAAGATCATTGATGAGGGACATTTCTAGGCTTGTAGATGGATGCATGTGCTATCAAAATTTAAAAAGAACATGAATTAAAAAAATCTGAGGAATAGTTATTATACTTCTGTCATACAAGGAGGACAAGACATATGATTTGAGTCAAAGAATGGCTTCTTATCATTCTGAGTAAGCTTGCCCAAAGGTCTCTCAGAAAAAGGAGTACATTTCCAGGGGGCTTCATGGGCTCTGGGCGCAGTTCTTTGGGCAGTTTGGTCAGTGGGTCACAATTCTTTAGGTTTACGTCAGAGAGAGACATAAACCAGTTCCAGCATGGAAGAGGGACCTAGGGGTCTTTTCTTTCTTCCATGTCCCTTTGTTTTTCTTATCAATTTATTCTTCTCAGTGTGATGGAGGCTCTCAGCTCTCTTACTAAAAACCTGCAGATTTAGAGGAAAGGAAGGAAGATTCCTCCCCCCCCACCAGACAGTGTTGTGACCTTATGTACACAGCGAAAGGGAGATAAGAAATCCTGTGGTGGTAGATTATTTATGATCTAATAAAGCTTGCCCAGAGATCAGAATGAAAAGCTAGCTACAGCGATAGATAGAAGCATGGCAATGGTGGCACACACCTTTAATCCCAGGACTCAGGAGACAGAGGCAGATGGATCTCTGAGTTCAAGTCCGGCCGGGGCTATAAGAGAGTGAATCAGTCTAAAAGAGAAACAGCTCACACGTTTAATCCCAGCACTAGAAAGAATAAGGAGCTCAGTGCAGTCTCGGGAGCAGTCTGAGATTTGGTCAGGAGCAGTGCAGTCTGGAGATGCAATCTGAGGTTCGGCGGATCTCCCCTTCTGTCTGAGCATTGGTAGAGGTGTGAGCTCTCAAGTAGCTTGGCCCCTTTGCTTTTCTCATCTTCAGCTTGAACCACAGTATCTGTCTGTGGGTTTTTATTATTCTTGTTACAAAATCTTTTTTAAAGCTCCTCAGTTTTACTACTTCCTCCTAACAAGTTAAAGAAAGTGAAAGTTTTAAAAATTATTAGAAAAATATTAGTTTCTATACTTAATGATTGAGCTTGCACTATATACAGTGACACAATGATGTCATAACAAAAGATAACAAAAGAGGATGGAATACAACCTTGTGCTCTTGGAAATGACCTAGAATAGTTGTTATCTACTCTGTGTCATAATCTAAGAATTGAAAATGTCAGATACATACACTTATGAGATCTGTTAGCAATTAGTAGTACCCTTCCTTTGTTCTCCTAAGAAACATTCCTGGCTCAAAGATCTAGGAAGCTCTACAGGGACTTGGACACATTTATAGGGTATAAGAGTAAAAGAAAACTAGTGTGTTTTGGAAGACATATTTTGGGGGGAAATTTATAACATTTAAGAGATCATTTTCTTCATCTGGATCTCCAGGCCTAGCTGTGTACCTGGTATGTAGTTCATAACAAGATTAAATGTTTAAATATTAATTTGTGCCCTGTAAATAAATCAAGAGTAAGCCTAAAAGAGGACCAAGCTTGGTGTAGAATACTACCTAGCACGTGTGAGACTCAGGGCTTAAACACCAGAAGTCTGTACTAATTAGGCTCTTTGGAGAAACAGAACAAAGTAATATGTGCATTTATGTATTTATTTTAAGGAATTGGTATGTGTTTTATGGCTAGGAGGTCTAAAATTTATAGGCCAGGACCCAGGCAGGAAACTGTAAGACAGGAATTCAATTTATATTTGTTCTTTGTTTTTATGTTCTGCCAGGGGTTGAACCTAAGATCTTGATGAAAACTCAGTAGTAGGCAACCTCCTTACTGCTTATCTGTACCTACAGCCAGGAGCTGCTCACCACCTCAGACCTGATTCTTCCTCAGAGAAACCTTAAACTGTGTTTAAGTTGATTGGTTGGGGCCTTCATTGATTATCAGATAGTCTTTAACTGACAGTAAGTGTTTACCAGATCTACAAAATACTTCCACAACAGCTCCAAGGCTAACCCACTAGCATAGTCTAGCCAAGTCAACACACGAACTGCGCCGTCACTGTATGTTTGGAATAAGAAAGGACCTGATTGGCATCTTGGTTGGCAGACTCAGCTCCTGTCTCCCAGGCTTCCAGGACAGGTTTGTTACTAGAACAAGATTTTCCATTACATACATTTATTCACATTATAGTTTAATGTGAGCAAAGAGCTTTTTATGTTACTAGGAGAAAGTGTAGACAAGACTCACAACATTATTTCAAATAAAGCCAAAGTAGTATTTAAAAAATTATTCCCAAGAAATCGCTATGTAGAGGAGCTTTGAGTTTGGGCAAATTTCATTATTATACTGAGGAGTGGAATACAGCTCACTTGGCATGAGCCTAAGAGTTGTTTCCTGTTTTGGCTTTTGATTTTGTCACATTGTTTTTCCCCTCCCTCATTTATTCATTAAAGATAATGTAGAATGTAATGCTTGCCTTTGATTTAAGAGAAATTAAGTGATTTAAAAGCAGAGCAAATAGAAGTATGCCCTAGCTTTGCCTCTCCTCAAAATATTCGTGCGAGCACATGCATGAATATTTGTGTGTGTGTGTGTGAAAGAGAGAGAGAGAGAATGTGTGTGTGTGATAGAATGTGTGTGTGTGTGAGAGAGAGAGAGAATGTGTGTGTTTGCGAGAGAGAATATATGTGTGTGTGGTGTGTGTGAGAGAGAGAGAATGTGTGTGTCTGTGTGGTGTGTGTGTGTGTGTGTGTGTGTGTGTGTACATGTACCATGGCCATGAAACAGCATTGCTTGAGGGCTGAATTATGTTAATGGTTGGCCAGTTTAGATTTGAAACTCATGGAGCTTGAAAATTTCAGGTAAGGTCATTGTAAAAGTTGTCTCCCAAATGTCGTTTTAAGGCCTGACATTTTCTATGCCTATAAACACTATGCCCTCCTTTTTATTTTTGATGGTAGTAGTGGAACCCAGGGCCTCACACTGCTTACCATGCTTCTTATCTCTAGCTACTCTCAGCACAGGACCCTCTTCCCTTCCATCCTTGGGAGCACTCCTATATGCCTCTCCTCCAAATCCTGTTGATGTGCCAGTAGCCTTTGTTATTCCCTCTCCTTAGTTTCCCTTTTACTTGATATTGTTTAAATTCACAAAGCTTTCTTTGTGAAAATTGAACCAAATAATAAGCCAGTGTAAAACACTGAGTTCAGCAAAAGTGATTTGCTTGGGATTAACCCTTGAGAATTGACTCCCTGCCAGATAACAAAGAATGTTTGTACTTGATCCTGTTCAATCTTCTTTTCCCTCCCTTCAACCAAGTGTTAATGAATTCCTATACAATTTATCTTATTCATGTGTTTTTTTAAAGGAAGCTCAAAGATGCTCATCAGATTTCCCACTGGAAAGCTTTTAGTCTGCCCCTCAGCCAAAGGCAATTTCATTTTTGTAGTTGTTCAAGATAGCAGCTTTGACATTCTAGAGTTTTCTCTCATAGACCACATATAATGCCGGAAAATGTTTTAATCTTCAAAATACAGAAATCTAGAAGCTTACCATTTTCATCCATTATTTTTCTTGGATTATTTTAATATGCTTCTAATTCATTTGTATGCCTCTGCTTTTGACCCTGTATAGTTTTCGAGGTGTGTGTGCCTGTGTGTGTGTGTGTGTGTGTGTGTGTGTGTGTGTCTTTGTGTCTGTGTGTGGTGTGTGTGTGTTTCTTTCTTCAAAATGACAACTAGAGGGCCTTAGAATTCCATGATGCAAAACAGTGGTGTCTGTATCATTCATAAGAAAGCTGAAGACCTGATGTTCCCTATAAGGTCCTCTATGGGGTGCCCAATCTGTAGGGTACATGCTGGTTGGCCCAGCAAAAACTTATAAACTTGCTTAAATTGTAAGGTTTTGAGAGTTTTTGTTGCATGGTTCACTTGAATGTGAACTTTGTTAACACTATCAGGTCACAATGTAAAAAAGTTGGAACATGTGCATGACACTTGACCTCTCTAACTTAATTCTTTATTCCTTTTCACTGTCTATTTCTCTGCATGCTGGCCTGTTTGTATCTTACACCGGCCCCTGCCTACTTCAGCAGATGGATCTCTGTGAGTTCGAGGCCAGTCTAAAGAGCAAGTTCTAGGACAGCCAGGACTACACATAGAGAAACCCTGTCTTGAAAAACCAAGGGGGGGAGGGGAAGATAAGAAAGAAAATTAGCCAATAAAGCAAGCAGCATATATAATCCCATAGACAGTGTAGATGTTTAAGTTGTATTCTTCCTAATAGTACTTGAAGAAACTGTATTTAGTGTAATTGCCATTGTTATTAAGAGGATTTACTTTCATAGACTTATGTGCACAACTCTAAATGGTGTGTTTTCCCTCTGCAGGGAAGAAGGCTGATAGCTGTAGGACTAGGAGTTGCAGCTGTTGCATTTGCAGGTACGTTGCTTTGGCTTTCAGACATAATACATTCCCATCAATTATAGTTACTTAGCAGTAATCAGTCGAACAAAATATAGTAAGCATTATAGTAAAATAAAAAAAAAATTATTGGTCAGTGAGCTAAATAAAACAGCTAGCTGCATAATGGCTGATATTCCTGACATGTTCTTTTCCAGTTTTATTTATAGTTTACAACAATAAGAAATTTGTAGTATGGGCTGATGTAATGGCTCAGTGGCTAAAGCACTTGATAAGCAAGTCTGAAAACCCGAATTCTGACACCCTAGCACATACAAAGGTGTGACACGGTAGCCCAAGTAATCCCAGTGCACAGTGGAAGGCTGAGGCAAGAGGATCCCTAGACACTCCTGGGCAGCTAGCTTGGCATAGACCACGGTTAACAACAGAAAGACTCTGTCTCAAACTAGGTCAAAACCGAGGCCCAACGTCCTAGGTTATCCTCCGACCGTGTCATGCCCACTGTGATACACAATAAATAATAGAGAAAGCCTGCTGGAAAGATGGCTCAGCAGTTTAGAGCAGTTGCTGTTCTTCCAGAAAGCCCCCATGTCAGGCAGGTCACAGCTGCCTCTAATGCCACCTCCAGATGGGCCAGCTCCTTCTTTTGGCCTTTGCAGACACCTGCCCACAAGTACACATGCATACACCTAATAAAAAGACAAGAACAAGCTTGTGTTTTATTTATTGCTATTAGCTGACCATGTGTTTGTGTACATGTATGATGTGTGAGTCTGGGCAGGAGTGTGTACACAGCTTTGGGGAGTCAGTTCTCTACCGCAAAAGTTCCCAGGATGGAACTCAGGTTGTCAGACTTGAACAGTACTTTTACCCCCTAGCCATTTCTGGCCCTGCCTCTCCTTTAATACAGTGTAATGCAAGTGATGGAGGTTCCCCTATGCTGTCATAGTCATGTGGATTTACACATTTCAGCTATCACTTCCTTCTGATGAGCACTCGACTACTCAGTTATCTTCTAACATACAGATATAGCGTGTTTATAAAGTCGGGATCATTTTCAACTTAAAATTCCACAGCTATTCCCTAACTAAATGTTAATCTGAGAATATTTCCTTGTATAGTTTGTTTCCTGTGCTTTGTTAAACAACTTAGGGAAGAGAGGGCTTGTTTTAGTTCACAATTCCAGTTACAGTTACCATAGCAGGGAAATCAAGATGCCAGGATCTTAAATCAGGTAGTCGCATCCATAGTCAAAACAGAAAGAGAATTAATGCATGCATGCTTATCCACTTACTCAGTTTAGGATTCTCTGCCTAGGGAATGGTGCCTCCCATAGTGAGCAGTCTACCCACATCAGTTAACATAAACGAAGACATTTTTCCTATAGACATGATCGAAGGCTCACCTGATCTAAGATGGCCCTTTATTAAAACTCTATTCCCAGGTGACTTTAGACTGTGTCAAGTTGACAATTAAAATTAACCATTACACCATGTTATTTAAATTTTTGTTTCTGAATTCTATGTGTTTGATTATATTAATTGCATTTTTCTTTTGATAAAGCTATATTTTGTTGTGGTGTCATAGAGCTAAGTTCTAAAAATGACAGCTTTATTTGGTTCTATACAGTATTTAACTTTATACAGTTCTCATTTAAAACAAGGAATTAAAAATCAACAAGATCTGTGACTCATGCCCCTTAGATCTTTTTGCCAGCAGGGCTTTGCACCAATTTCACAACTATAGTTAACTACATCTGAGCTTTCATGAAAAAAAAAAAAATGTTTTTAAAGAAATTCTGACAGTTGCCATAAACATAAACCAATTTTAGTACTATTATAGGCTAGGCATAATTATAAATTCAACTGTGAGCTTTTCATTTTAATCTCGAAAAAGATGTATTTTATCTGGTTTTCTTTCAATGACAAAAATACCCTTGTATATTTTATATAGAAAAATTCATGTTACAAATTAGAATAGCAGAACTTGCCCAGAGCCAAATAAAACCGAGTAAAAACTTAGGAGAAGCTATCCTTGCCATACTTCCCGTTATGGCAGCTAGATGTAGTCTATGTTTAAATGACTCCCCAGATATCACTTCCCAAAGCCTTTATCTGTTTTTGTTTGTTTTGTTTAACCTAGGCAGGAGTTTGGTTGCTTGTGGTTTTGAAGAATTTTAAGGTGATTTGAAAGTGATGTTTTATGTACGGAATCAAGTTGTATACCATCCTGAAAGATCTAGGAGTTTGTTAAGCTTCCCCACAGGGATTAGGATTGTGGTATCTTACACAGTTTTCCAGCAAAACCTAGTGAGAAGGGCATGAGCAGAAAGTGGGCTGATGTCACTCTTCTATGAAGCCCACAGAATGACTTTAGGGTCTGGTTTGCTTGAGATTCTTACTCAAGCAACCACAAAGGAATACTAGATTGTAATACTTCTTCCAAAAACTCAGATATATTTGTGAAACAGTAACTCATATTCTTAGGTTATGCATCCTTAGTAAATTTATAGGAAATCTCTGGCAAAGTCTAGTTTACCAATTTTGATTTAACATCTATCATTTTCTGTCACAGAGTTTTGTTTTGTTTTGTTTTTGCTATTTCTCTATATTTGGGTTTACATTTCCTAATCAAATTTTACTTTTTAATGATAAAGTTTGATCATTAAATGTCTCTAGTTAGAGACATTTACTCCATTATGATACTTGAAATTGTGGAAATGTAAGTCAGAATCATTAGTTTAACACTTTCAATAGTAATTATCATCTGTAAAATATCAACTTGAAGATAATTTCCACACTTTTTTCAGGTACCTCGGAGACAGGAGTGATATACTAAGTTTTATTGATGAGAAATCACTACAATCTGACCATTTCTAAATGAGATTAAACCTTTAAACAACCAAAAAGTAAGATCTTAATGAAAGTAAAGACCCAAAGTGGGAAAAACAGATAGTTAAGTCACATATGGTTTCTTACTCTACAGTTTACTCTCCTAAATGCACTCCTTATTGTGTGTCTTAAGAAGTGTTTGTTTTCTATGTATTTCAGTTTGATTACCATCATAAATGGCAATATAATTAATCATTTAGTATCATAAGTGACTATTATAAACAGTGTCTTATTCTAGTCAGTTTATTGTGGAAAGAGTATTAAGGTGGTATTGTATTCTGTAACATTGTATAAGTGTAAAATATACATATAAACATTGAAAACTTCTAATTTTATTATCATGAACTAGAACTTGGTATATGTGTTGGCTGTGATAATATTAAAATCAAAGTCTGTCTACTTAATAAGTTAGAAGTTTGAAAAATAGTAGGTCTTTTTGACAAAATATGAAATAGCATTTATACCAATAAATGATGTATGATAAACACCTTAAGAGTAATGATTGGTATTGATTATGAGAAATATATTAGTGTTTGTTCCATTTACTGTTTAGGTCGCTATGCATTTCAAATCTGGAAACCTCTAGAACAAGTAATCACGGAAACAGCAAGGAAGATTTCATCACCGGTAAGTTAATGGGGCTGTAATTAGAAAGCACTTTTGATGTTTGTTCGTCGTACTTGAAAGCAACTCAGTGCATGTCTAGGCTTACCACCTAGAAGTTGGAAAGAAGTAGAAGTTCAGTTCTCATCATTTATAAGTCTGTCTAGTCTATGAATTTAGTTTAAGTTTCTTAGTCCTATGATTTTTATGCATGGACTTCTATTTCTGGTTTTGATGACTGTTACACTCTAGCTAGTTTTGGATTGACTGCTGGGTGACTTACTGTCTATCCTGTTGTTTTGAAAGAGGGACTCTTGTATCCTGAGCTGGCATGAGCTCTTTGCTCCTCTTGCTCCTATCTCCCAAGTGTCTGGCTATAGACGTGTGCCACCATACTTAGCCTCTTTGGGTTTTTGATTTTTTGAGATAGCATCTCACTATTTAGCCAATATTGACTTTCAATGCTCTTGATCCTCCAACAAGTATTGAGATTACAGGTATATGCCACTACACCTGTCTTATTTTTCCTTTCTAACTAATATTATTTACTAAATAAACATGTAGTGAGTGCCCACCATTTACCAATCCCTGTGCCAGGAGATAAGAATAGCAACCGAGTAAAACAGATCAAATCTCCATCCTAGTAGAGCTTATGAAGAGTGTATTTCAGCTTGAAATTTGAAACTAGTCCCCTGTGTCACTGCACCTAACCACCTCAAATGTAACACTGCAAAACTCCACCATGAAATCCTGTGAAATATTTTTATAAGATGTGTTATATTCATTTATGCTGTGGAATATTTGTTTAATGATGCAAAGATTTGTTGCATTCAATTATATTGCATTTAACTCTGTAAAGCTGTGTTATTTTGCCTGTCTAAAACAGCTGGTTGGTCTAGCTGAACTTAAGGCCAATAACTAGGCAAAAGAGGGATAGGTAGGGTTGCCAGACAGAAAGAATAAATAGAAGGATGAGGAGAAGGCATGAGAAAAGAAGAAGGGAGGAGAAGAAGAGGAGGGTGCCAGGGGCCAGCCATCCACCCAGCCAGACATGGAGTTAGAAGGGAAGAAACGTATAGAACAGACAAAGGTGAAAGCCCGGAGGCAAAAGGTAGATGGGATGATTTAAGAAAAGCTGGCCAGAAGCAAGCCAAGCTAAGGCCAGGCATTCGTAAGAATAAGCCTTCATGTATTTCTTTGGTAGCTGAGTGAGCAGAGTTCTAGATATTCTTACAAACTTAAGAGAAATGCAGAATGAATGAAAGTAGGTATTAAGCTACAGTGTGTGTGTGTGTGTGTGTGTGTGTGTGTGTGTGTGTGTGTGTGTGTGTGTGTGTGTGTTGAGAGCTGGAGAGGTAGCTGAGCTGCTCTTCCAAAGGACTTGGGTTGAATTCCCAGGACCCCTATGTCAGCTGACAACTGCTTGTGGCTCCAGTTCTAGGGGATCCAATACCCTCACACAGACACAACAACAATGCACAGACAAATTAATAAATAAAATCATTGTAATAATAAAAATTAATAAATAATTTTTCAAAACGCTACAGTGTGAGTTGTAGTTTGTGATCATAGAAGAGTACACAGTGAAGAGTCACCAAATCACTGTAGTGTAAGCATTGACTTTTGGAAAATAGAAGCAGATCTGGACTAGATCAGCTTGGTTTATAGAAATCTGAGAGTGAATGACTTGTTTTAGCAAAGACATTACAGGCCTGTGGGGCTTAGTTAGTGACAGCCCTCCCAAAGGATGACATAATGACAAGAAATTTAGCCCATGTTCAAAAGAATGCCAGAGATTTTTCTAAAATTGGTGAAGGCTTGTCTGTGACTACAGAATATAACTTTGTTTTCTGTTTCCCATTTATACTTGATCTGACAAACATATTGATGGGTAGATATTCAGCATTTGTTCAGTTAGTATTCACTGTGTGCCTGCTACATGGCAGATATTGTAGGCAGGCAATACTCATAGACCAAAGATACTTCTCTCTAGAAGCTTATGTTTTGCATTTTAGTACAGTTATACAATTTAAAACATGAAGGTTTTAAACTAAAATTACCAAGTACCATTAAGAAATGCAAACCAGGATAAGAAACAGAACACTAGGAGAAAGACCTTTATATAATCTAGGACAGGCGAAGCCTTTTAGGAGATGAGGATATGGACCATGTAAGCATCTGAAGGAAGAGTGTTCTAGGCAGTAGGAGCACTGGGGTCCCAAGCTTGGATGAGCATAGCAGCATGTGTAATTCCAGTGGTGTCTGAAGGGAAACCAGCTGGGGCCCAGGTCTCTTGGGGCCTTTAGACCATGACAAGTACCTCTCATTTTTTTTTTTTTTTTTTTTTTTTTTTTTTTTCCTGCATATAGAAGATTTTGAACAGGGACAATGTGACATGCATTTTTGTAGGTTATCATTCATCCTGCCAACTGCTTATAGACCAGAGTGAGCCAGAGCCAAAACTCTGAAGGTAGTTGAGAAGGGATGGTGATAGGTGATAGGGATGTGAAAGGGAAATTGTGACAGGGTACATTTCATGCATGTTGTCTTTGTCTTTCCATGTGTCACTTGTATCTGGGGATAAATTTAGAAATTGTTTTGCATCTCTTGTGGTGATTATCTGTAAATATATGTGTGCCATAAAGAGGAAACCTTCAAGCTTTATGGAGCAAGTATTACTTAATGTTGCAAAAGAAGAGAAAGAGGCATTGAGAATATTTTCACCATTGCTCTACTCAGTAGATGCCTACAACAGGGCAGGCTAGCTGGTAATGGGCATGTTGCAAGACTTTTCCCAAGGAGAGGAAAGTGAATGATTTTGTTGTGATGCTTTTTTTTTTTTTTAATTTAATAAGTCTAGTTCTTTCTTTTTTAAACAAAATGTGATTATAGTTTGTAGGCAAACAGTTTGATGCTTTTTTTAATTTAATAAGTCTAGTTCTTTCTTTTTTAAACAAAATGTGATTATAGTTTATAGACAAACAGTTTAGAATATCTTAATCATGATCGTCTTTAAGAATAAGTCTTTACACTTTGATGACCCCATGGGGATGGGATGGGCGGTGTCAATGGGGAGCATGGGAGGATGGGAAGGAGAGGGAACTGGTATTGATGTGTAAAACAAGATTGTTTCTAATTTAAATAAAAAAATGGAAATAAAAAAAAGAAGAAGAAAAAAGAAAGGTAACCTGTGTTCCACTGGACGAGGGGAGAAAGGGTAGGGAAAAAAAAGTCTTTACATATTAACCACTCCAGAGAAACTGAAACATGAAGTGTGTACATAGCTGCTCTTCACATGAATGAGTCTCAGATGCCACACTTCATAAATGCAGCATTACAGGATTTGATAAGTATTAATTTTTGAACCAAGTTGGGTTACTAAAAGAATAGGAAGTGTAATTGTATCCCACTAACTATTTCCTTCACAGGGCAGGGTCCACCAGGCCCAGTGGGCTTTCTGCTTATTGTTCTTTACCCTACCCAGGTTTCACTGTCCTGCTCTTAAACCCCATTTCTCTTAGTCATGTGTTTAAAACTTACTGTGTTGGAATGTTGGTTGGAGTAAGCATTCATCCATGTGCATGGATGGTGAATATTTTCAGTGTTTTTCTGCAAACAAGATTTGTGTTTCCCTCATAATTACTAATTGCTAGTTATTACTCCTGGCTGCTTGAAATTCAGTGGCCTCCGCTTAACAGAAGTAGATGTCCCTGCTGGGACTCAACCTCACTGCCTGTCCTCGTCCCTTCGTGTTTATAGCCAGAGTTCCTACTGGCAGCCTGATTTTTACACCTGGAGATACCTGATTTGTGGTTTCCCTTCATTGTTTAGTTTGGGGTTTCTCTTAATTTGTTTGTTTCCTTTTTGATATCTTACTATTTCACAAGGATTCTTCGTGAACTGTAACTTTCTTGAAGATTCTCTTTTATTCTCTCATACTTCTTAATTTTTCTTTGATTATTTCTTCTATTGATTCTCTATTTCTAGGATTTGTATTAGAAAGATGCTGGATGTCTGCATCGGTCCTTCAGTGTCGAGGTGTCTCATTTTTTTTTTTTTTTTTTGTTCCTAACTTTCTTCTACATTCTGCAATTCTTTCAGTTTGTTTTACGAATCACCAAGCTGGTGGCCATTCTTTTTGGTTTTTCGAGACAGGGTTTCCCTTTGTAGTTCTGGCTGTCCTAGAACTCGCTCTGTAGACAAGCTGGCCTTGAACTCACAGAGATCTGCCTGCCTCTGCCTCCCTCTGGGATTAAAAGTGCGCACCACCACTGGCTGGTCTTTAAAACAGTTCATCTGAATTTTATACAAGAGAAATGTTTTAAAATTTATTTTATTTTTAATTATGTATATACGTATGGGTTTTTCCACATATGAGTGTAGGTACCTAAGGAATGCAAAAGCATCCTCTCCAACATAAGTTGTCATCAGAGTTTTTGATCTTTGCTATTCTGATAGGTGTGAGATGGAATCTCAGAGTTGCTTTGATTTGTATTTCCCTGATGACTAAAGATGTTGAGCATTTCCTTAAGTGTCTTTCAACCATTTGAGATTCCTCTGTTGAGAGTTCTTTGTTTAGATCTGTACCCCCCCCCCTTTTTTTTTTTTTTGATTATTTGGTCTTGAGTTCTTTGTATGGAGATCAGCCTTCTGTCAGATGTGGGGTTGGTGCAGATCTTTTCCAATCCTGTAGGGAGCCATTTTGTCTTCTTGACCATTTCCTTTGCTTTACAGAAGCTTCTTGGTTTCAGTAGGTCCCATTTATTAATTGTTTCTCTCAGTGCCTATGCTACTGGTGTTATATTGAGGAAGCGTCTCCTGTGCCAGTGTGTTCAAGGCTACTTCCCACTTTCTCTTCTGTCAGGTTCAGTGTGGTTGGTTTAATGTTGAGGTCTTTGATCCATTTGGACTTTAATTTTGTGTATGGCAATGGATATGGATCTATTTGCATTCTTCTATAAGTCAGCATCCGGTTATGCCAACACCATTTGTTGAAGATGCTTTCTTTTTTTTCCATTTTATAATTTTATCTTCATTGTCAAAAATCAAGTGTTCATAGGTGTGTGGATTGATATCAAGGTCTGCGATTTGAATAATTTGATCCACCTGTCTGTTTTTATGCCAATACAAAGCTGTTTTCATTGCTGTTGCTCTTGCTCTGTAGTATAGCTTGGTCCTTTATTGTACAGGGTTGTTATGACTATTCTGGGGTTTTCATTTTTCCATATGAAGTTGAGTATTTATTGTCCTTTTGAGGTCTTTGAAGACTTTAGCTGTGAATTGCACTGACTCTGTAGATTGCTTTTGGTAAGATTGCCATTTTTACTATGTTAATTCTACCCATCCAAGAGCATGGGAAATCTTTCCATTTTCTGATGTCTTCCTCAACTTCTTTCTTCAGAGACTTAAAGTTCTTGTCATATAGGTCTTTGATTAGTGTCACCTCAAGATATTTTGTTGTTTGTGACTATTGGGGATAATGTTTCTCTGATTTCTTTCTTGGCCCATTTATCATTTGTATATAGGAGGGCTACTGATTTTGAGTTAATCATGTTACATTTATCAATATTTATCAGTTGTAGGAGTTCCCTGGTAGAATTTTTGGGTAAGTTATATATACTATCATATCATCAGCAAATAGTTTGACTTCTTTTCCAATTTGTATCCTCTTGATTATCTTTTGTGCTATATTGAATAAATATGGAGAGAGTGGACAGCCTTGTCTTGTTCCTGATTGCTTTGACTTTCTCTCCATTTAGTTTATGTTGGCTCTTGGCTTGCTGTATATTGCCTTTATTATGTTTAGATATGTTCCTTGTATCCCTACTCTCTCCAAGATCTTTATCATGAAGGGATGTTGAATTTTGTCAAGTGCTTTTTTAGCATCTAATGAGATGATTGTGTTTTTGTTTTGGTTTTTTCTTCTTTCTTTCTTTTTTTTTAATGGTGGAGTACATTGATGGATTTTTGTGTATTGGACCATTCCTGCATTTCTGGGATGAAACCTACTTTGTTCATGGTTGATTTTTTTTTTTTTTTTTTTTTTTTTTTTTTCTGATGTGTTCTTGAGTATTTTTGCATCACTGTTCTTGAAGGAGATAGGTCTGTAATTCTCAATTTTAGTGTGTCTTTGTGGACCCTGGCAACTCTTATAAAAGGTAAATATTTAATTATGTTGGTTTGCCTACAGTTCAGAAGTTCAGTCCATTATCATCATGGTGGGACAGGGCAGTACACAGGCAGACATGGTACTGGAGAAGTAGCTGAGAGTCTTATATATTACAGTGGTCTGTCTCACTAGATGTACCTTCAGCATATGTGAGACCTCAGAGCCGGCCTGTACCCATGACACACTTCCAAGAAAACCACACCTCCTAATAGTGGCTAATATTACCTCCCTTTGGGGGTGATTTTCTTTCAAACTACTACAATTACATTTATGAATCTGTACATATTTGGATCCCAGCATTTTCAGAGAATGAGCTTCAGCATCTTATCTCTCTATATTCCAAGCAATTCAGTGTTAATATATTTTATCAAGCCTTTGATACCCTTTCAGTTATTATTTACTATTAGAGATATCTAGTTATAATGTTATAATGTTATGCCTGCTCATAATGTGAGAGTAATTTAAAGATAATAGATTAGTGTGTTGTACAAATATTTCTATACAAATTGTCTAATGTAAAAAATCCAAATTTCATGGTTTTATGAGGCAGGATTTTTCTCTGAAGTAATTTGCCTACATTTTAGTAATTGGGTAATACAAGCTTCTTTTTCTCTTGTCTATTTTTCTTTGTGTTAACCCATGTATTAAGTTTCTGTCAGCAAAATGGTGTTCTTTTAGAAAGTGTGATGACTTTTTATGCAAAGGTTTACTTACTTGAATAAAAGCATTGTTGCAGGACATGAAGTTCTTGCAGATGCTGGATTTTGAGGAGACTTTTCTAAGTCCCATTTCCACACAGTAAAAAAATAAAAATAACACAGACCCTAGTGTTTTGCTTTTAAGGTTAGTGACTTGTGACTGTAGAGGGGGTAACAGTTTGGGGAACATCAATTTATCTTATGCTGACTTAAAGTCTTGCTCTCTAAGGTAGATGAAGACTCAGAAATACCTTCTTCTGTAAAGAAAAAGTTGAAGCCTTAAGCATGAATTAAGACCAAAATAAGAACAAATATACTGCTGTAGAAATGACTGTCATAATCAACTCAAGTATCCAGCTTTTATTTAGGGATAAGGTTTGCATCTAGGAAAGATGTTGGTCTGCTGGGAGAGTCTTTAAGACCATCTGGCCTTTGTCTGTTAAGTATCCAGTTTTTCTCTACGTCTGGCTTGAGGTTTACTCCTGTCTTCTGTAACATTCTGTGCATTTTGTTTTTGTAGTAGGTTGGAAATGACATGACATTTGGCAGAGGGTATGCTACTCTTCATGGCGCTGTTAGATTACTGGGTCAGTGTCTGTGGTAAAAGCCAGCCCTTAACATGTCTCACTTATGGCAGTTACGGCAGATCGCCAACATGGAGGGAGAAATTGCGCCAGCATATACACTTTTTTCCTCTTGCCATCATTCCTTAAATTCAGTGTAGCCACTATTTATTTGTGTGGCATTTACATGTCGTAGTGATCTACAGGTGACTTAGGCTATACAGGAGAATGGCTGCAGCTTATTTGCAGAATATCATGTTGCCCTTTTATATAAAAGACGTGTACACCTAAGCATTTCAATACAATCGGATCTGGAAGTGATTCCTGATAAGTACTGTAATTGGAGACTATAGTTTCTTACTATTCAGTATGAAAATGCAGGCAACTGCCTGGAATTGTGTATGTGTTCAATCATACATGCCTCAGCTCTAAAAGCTGAGTCCATACACCTCTGTAGAGCTCCTGAAAATAAGTGCTTTTCCTTGCTGTCTCCTGATTTTTTGCTTTCTCCTGTTGGATTTCTTGTTTTCCCCCCTTTGAGACAGGATGTTGTTATGTAGCCGAAGGAGCTGTGATTCGTGTGCTTTTCCTGTCTCCCCCTTCCAAGTGCTTTGATCACAGCTATACACCACCATACCCACATGATTCAGTTCACTTCCTTTGCTACTGATTTCTGAGTCCTGTCTCTCCTTTGACTTTCTCTTTGCTAATGCCTGGGGTCAGTTCTCAGATCACATTTTCTTTCACTTCCCGTTTTCTTCCGGGGAGGAGGGGGGGTCAATAGTGTGCTCTTCTAGAGCTCCTTACTAATCCCTCCTCAATTTCAGGCCTCCTGCAGACTCAGAGTCTGTACTTGCTCTCCTCAGGCAGTCTTGCTCAGTCTGTTCTCGCTAAGCACGGTCCCCCTGAGGACTGTCAGGGGCTTTCTCTAGATTGAACTACTTTTCCACTTAGAAATTTGATAGCAGCTTCAAGTTTCGTACAGTGAAAACCATCCTCATCATTATCTATTTCCCACAACTGACAACAGCAGTTTGGCAATTCTAGACCAAAAATCTTAAAGCTGTTTGGTTCGGCTTCTCTGAAAAGTAGACTGAGGCAAAAATTGGAGATCTGTAAGTTTCGGGAACAGTCCTTGACTCAGCACCCTTTGAAACAAGACAAGGGTGAGGAGCAAGTTAGGGTGTAGTGCAGTCTTAAGAAAAGCCGGGCTCACAGCTCCCATGATTCGCTGTGGTTAGAAGAGAGCCCTGGGAAGTGCTGACCTTGGAGAGCTTCAGTGCTTATGCCACCTCGACCCGTCATTTCAGGCACAGGCTCCTCCAGGAAGAGGACGTGACTTTGACTTTGGTCTTAAATGGTCAGAGCTAAGGCTGCTCAGTGAGCACAGCCCTGAGTCTGGGTCCTTCAATCCTAAGGCAGGATCTGGACAATGCGGAACTTGTCTTCTGCATCATTTGTAATTTCCCTTTTTGTCACATCCCATATTAGTCCACCAAGGAAACGTTTGCTCTCAAAATACCTGAAAAATCTCTGACCATTTCCACACATCCTCAGCTCCTGCCTTCACTTATGCCCTGGTGCCTTGGAGGGTTACACTCATGTTCTTTAACCACTCTTATTCATGTCTACTCTTCAGACGCAAAGTAATCCTTCCGGAACAAAGCCAAAGATGTTACTCTTGTTTCTCATTCCACTTAGAATAAAAACCCATTTCCATCACTAACCAGGCCTTTCACAATCGGTTCCCGATGCTTTTTAAGATTCCTAGCTTCCTAGTTCGCACTCTCTAACCGCTATGACCATTTCAACTCTCCTTGAAGGTGAGGATGTAATAATTTCACTAGACCCAAGATAAAGGATAAATGGGTGTTTATTGGGGGAACAATTACACAGAAAAATACAAAGAACCCTTCCTACCAGATTTGCTGACCCAAGAGAAAGAGGAGCAAAGGAAAGCCACTCCTCAAGCTTTCCTCTTTCTGCTTCTGTCTGCCTGAGGTCACACTTGGGGGTGTGGCCACTGTTACAGGTTCACTGCAAGACCACTACATCACTTGGCTTCCCTGTCTGTTATAACTGCATGTTCTTCTTTCTCTCTGAGCCAGGATAGAAGGCAAACAGATAACCTGCCACATCAATATAAGTTTCTTGGTCAAGGCTATCCAGTAAGCAAAGCACTTGGGTGCTCAAGGAAAACACTGACATTCTGCTGAGCTCTGTCCTTCAGTTCTATCTTAGTAGAGAAAAAGTAATGCATTGTGAAGTTGAAAACATTGCTAAAGTTTCTTTACATTTATCTTGGCTAGAGTTTCATGAAAGGATCATTGTGTAGTCATTCCCCTGCAATTTCAAGTTGATTTCTAATAAAATGCATTGCCTTTACTGTAGCAGTGTGAAGGGATTGAGGTCATGTTACCTCGTGTATGGAACTAATTATTTCTTGCTCTTTCTTTCCCATGCAGAGCCTTTCTTCCTACTATAAAGGAGGATTTGAGCAAAAAATGAGTAGGCGAGAAGCTAGTCTTATTTTAGGTGTAAGGTAAGTGCTACATAAGTATTTTTTGTTTAAAAAATTGGGGAGTGGGTTGCAATAAGTTTGTGCTTAGATTTAAAAATTAAAAATAAAATCCAGAAGAGGACATAGCACATTTTTACCTTTTAAAAGTTGAGTCTGTATTACTTGAATTTATATATGCTCTTTGCTCTTAAACAAGGATTCTTAGATTCCAAGTCTGCTCTTCACAAAGAGCATTGCGATACTGATATCTCTCTGGACCACTTTTGAAAATTCATGGATATCTTTAATTATAATGCATATTTTATTTCATAATTCTTTTCTTCTTCTGCAGTTTTATATAGACCATATATTATTTTACTTATTCCATTTTACTATTCATTGACTTTCAATATTAGATATATAGGAAAAGAGATAATGAAATTGTGTGGTTATCATTAACATTAATGCCAGGAATTTTTTTTTTTTAATCTTAGATTTACTAGAATCTGTATTCATTTGTTTCTTTTATTGTTCCTTAGAGCATATTCTTGAGGGTTTGTTGTTGTTGTTGTTTGGCTGGTTTGGGTTAGTGCTAGGAATTAAACCTAAGGTCTTGAATATGCTTGGTAGACACTCTGTCACTAACTTATGTCCCTAACTGTTAGATTTTTTTATAAACTATGTAACCTAGGCCGGCCCTGACCTCATGATCTTCCACATTCCAACTTCCAGGGTTAGAGTTATCAGCTATAGGCAGAATTGGTTACATCGTACCATCATCCACTGCACACAGAGTTGGTTACAGTGTTTCAACCACTCAAAGCACAGAGAGTTGGTTATAGTGTAGCATCTACTGTACACAGAGTATGTTATCTTCTGCACACAGAGAGTTGGTTACAATGTATCATCCACTCAAAGCACACAGGTGTTTGGCTATAGTACATCATCTACTACACACAGAGAGTTATAGTATATCATTTACTGCACACAAAGAGTTACAGTATATCATCTAGTTAACACAGACTTGGTTTTAGTATATTATCTACTGTAGATTTCTTGGTGACTTAATCAGTGTGATTAAGCAGAAGAGTTAAAGTGCTATAGTGAGAAAAAAGTTATAGATAAATACAATCTTTAAGATCAAACATTTTTTATGACCTGCTTTAGAAAGAGAAATAAAAAAAAAAAAAAAAAAAAAACTGGGCTGTGTAGGTGGTTGTGTAGGTGGTTTAACCAGTAAAGGTGTCTGTCACCAAGCCAAATGACCTTAGTGTAGTTCAGTCTAACTGGGCCTGGACTCACATGAACTCACTCCCAAAAGTTGTTTCCTAACCTCTACATGCGTACTAACACACACACACACACACACACACACACACACACACACACACACACACACGGGGGGGGGGTTGGGTGCATGGATACTATTAAATAAGTGTAATTTTTTTTTTTTTTTTTTTGAGATTGGAGCTTATTTTAGCTTAGTGCTTTACATAAATCTAAGAGATGGGAGTTTTCCTTGTCATAGAAAGTAGTGGATAGCATTAAGCAAAGGGACCATGTTAGCTGGGTAACTATTTCCTTGCTTAGTATTACTCAGGTGGCATTATTTTACCTAAACTTACTGGCTCTGTTTACTACAGACTCAAGAATGCCACTCAGTTCCATACACCTCATTTGTCCCACCCACCCAACCCTCCCTTCCCCTGCCAGTGAAACATAATTCAGGGAACGCTTTAGAATTTGTGGTCTGGGCAACAACAGATCATTAAAATGTAGCAAGGATTTAGAGTTTTAATATAGCACAATCAAAAAGGGAATAAACTCTGCATGTAAATGAGAATCCCCCCTCATCCCCAAAGCTCACGCCAAGATGATCAGGCAGCGGTTTTAAATTACCACATTTGTGTACCTGAGCTTTTCTTCCATCTGGTTTCACTTTAATTGAGTTTGATGGGTGGCAGACCTTAGTGTATACAATACTTCTGGTTTTGTGTAGAAAAAAAGTTACTTTAAAAAGAAATAGGCAGTGTAATTGGTTTTCCAGGATATTGTAACTCAAGTGACTTTCAGACTTTGTTTCATGTGTTCAATTAAAATTTCATATCCAAAATAAGAGCCAACGCTCCCTGTTTCTTCAAATGTGTACAACAGAAATTTGTGTTTTTCTAAATTGATATCTATTATTTAGTGACTAGCTTTCTGAAGTACAGTTCTATGAAGCTCTTTTTATAGGTTTCTAATTTTTATAGTAGTCTTTTATAATGCCAGTGTTTGCTGTGCCAGAGCCTTCCTTCTTCTAAGGAGTTTACTTTTTGTGATTGTTGTTCTGAGTTTGGGGTTTTTTTTTTTTTTTTTTTGTTTATTTGTTTTTGTTTTTGCTGTTGTTATTGTTTTCTGGGGCAGCACTGTAAAATCCATCAAGCACCCATAGCATGTTCAGTCTTAAAGTGCAGGTTGTAGACTGCCTGTACGTCATTTATATGTACTTAGAAGGACACTATGTAAGTAGGATAGAGGTAAACAGAAAGGATCAGTGTATGTCAGCACAGGAAGTAGAATTGTGCTGCTTTTCAGAGTGACGTGGTTTTCCTTTCTTAAGCAGTTAAGTAAAATAGTGTTCTTAGCTCTTAAATATCTGATTTTTTTTCTTTACTTTCTCAAAACTCGATAGTCTGAAATGAAACAGTAATCTATTTGAGAGTTACCTAAAAGTTAAGTTTAAAAATATCCCCCATAAGAATTCTGCAAACAACCAAAAGAAGTATTCTCGAGTCCTTGCATAAAGGAAGTTGTTTATTTTATTTATGGAAGAATGGCTTGTATGTTCATTTAGCCTGTAATAGTTCTTTTTTCACAGGGGAGCTTGTCTTTTCAGACAGTCTTGTTACGTGGCCTTTTGAGTTCAAGATCCTTTTGTTTCAGCTTCCTGAATGCTAGAAGTATAAGCATGTATCACTATTCCAGGCCCTTAATGGGATGTATTAACATGTGTGGCAATATGTTGTTTACCTGTAAGAGGTTAGAGGTAGTGTGTAATTGGCAAGAAACTGTTAGAAATTGGAACAGTAACACCTGGTAGCAAGGGGTGGTGTTGTTCAAAGAGAAGGAGGGTCTTAAGCAGCATTCTGGGCCCTTCTGAGGGTCAGCCAACCTTTGTGGACTCTCAGAGTTGCATTTGGTTCATTCTCAGGATAATGCTTCTGAGTTGTTCAAGAAATGTTAGATTGTTTACATTCAGTTCCTTAAAAGTACAAGTCTATGCAATATATTTCATAAGCATCCTTCCTGTATTCTTTAAAGTAATCCTTAGAGATAGGCTTTACTGTATGTATTTTACATAGGAGAACATGATAACTTAGAGAGTTGAAATGAGCAAGACACATTCCTAGCTGAAGAGTAGTATAATTCAGGTTTTTGAACTTAGACCTGAGTGACTAAAGTTACATGCTTCCTACTAACATGTGTTTAGTCAATTTTGATTCCTTTGAGCTTCACAGCTACCCTCGTACTTTGAGCTGGCTGTGAATTTACCCATTTGAAACCTGGTAAAAATAAGTCACTGAATACAATAGCTGTTAGGTACAGGAGCTTCTAATGTTGCTGCTCAGACAATGTACTAAACACTTACAATTCTGAATAAGTCAGTATGTCATAATCATTTTTTATTAATTTATTTTATTTTATATAACAAAGTCCAATTAAATGAAAACAAACATTTATACACAATATTTGGGAATTTGGGCGTCGTTCTTTCCAAACTACTTCCTGCTGGTAAGGGGCGCTGTCATGGGAGATTCGAAGAAGATGCAGAAATCCTGGCTGTAGTCTGTAAGGCTGCTTTGTCCAGCTGTTTTGAATGTAGGATCACCTTGTACTCTGTTTCAGGCAGTCTGGCGTGATCAAACCACATTAGTCTGGAAGGAATCCACATCTTTTCATTTTCTGTGGAAACAAAAATAGAAATCCTTTTCCCCAGTAACTTGTCCTTGAACTTAAATTTTGGAGTCAAAGCATTTTTTTAAAATTTAATTTATTATTTTACATGTCGATCCCAGTTCCCTCTCCCTCCCTCCCTCCCTCCCTCCCTTCCTCCCTCCTTCCCTTGTCATAATCATTTTATGTTTAACTATCTTCTTTAATTCTTCACTCACAATGTAGGCTCTACTGCCAAACTTTCCCACAGATTTCTTACAAAGCTAGACACACTATGAACTATATGGAGTTTTGAGATTGCTTGTTGAGGAACTAAAAGAAGGCAGCTATGGGGGAACACACATGTCATGCCAGGCTAGCACTTGGCAGCATCCTTGCTCTGTGGGGATGTGGTCACACTGCAGTGGGGAATCTGAGCACAGAGATTCAGGCCGTGACCAACATCACCCAGTACTCCGCAGTAAGACTGATCGCTAAAACAGGCTAGTTCTGAAATCCAAATATCTCAACGACATGTGTCACCTTCCTTCAAAATGACTTCAGAAGCATTAGCTTTCAATCCTTGCAATGTGCACACTGTGACTCTCCTGGCCTGTGTATGTGGGGTGCTTTTGGTTGTGGTGGTGGTATGTTATTTTTGGTTCTGGGCACTAAATCTGGGGTCTCATGGTTGCTAGGTAAGGATTCTATGATGGAGCTAAATCTCCAACCCATCTTCTTCTATTTATTTACTTTTAAAAACTAAGAATGAGGATAAATATTGCGAAATGCTGAAGGAAAATACAGTACAATATTGAGTCACCATGATTTATTTTAATGGTTAGTAGAATTAAGTGTAAAGCTTGTAATTTTGTACTTGTCCACAAGATGGTGAAATTCTCATTAGTTTTTAATTTCTTGAAACACAAATAAATCATTAATTTATAATCTGCATTTTGCACTGTTTGTTAATTTTTTACAGCCCATCTGCTGGCAAGGCCAAGATTAAAACAGCACACAAGAGAATTATGATTTTGAACCATCCAGACAAAGGTAGGTGGAGACCCCATTTTCCATGGTCAGATGTGCAGTGGGTTCCTTTCTTTCAGTTCACTCAAACTCACATAAGTAATGCATAGCTGGTAGGGAGTTATGTGCCACGTGTGTTGAGATTGTCCTCACAAACAAGTGGGCTTGTGGTTCAGAGTTGAGTAGGTCGATGTGAATAGTGGATTTGAACTGAGAACTTTGCAGAGCTCCGTTGCTGGCTTTAGGGATGAGTGTCTGAACTCACCAATGCTCTCACATTTTAATCAAGAAAGAAAACCTGAGCTATGGGGCTGTGGGGTGGAATAAATTGATTTGCGCATCATCTGTTATATCTACTAAATCTTACAGATAAAAGTGTAAGATTTAGGGATTTCCTCTACATCTCTATAATTTGTCATAGATGGTTATGAATTTTAAATTTTTGTATAAGAAGGCTCTGTGGCTAAGCTATTTATTTCTCACTGGCCAGTTTTTTTTAATGTAAATATATCTTACAGAAAGACAATTATTATAACTTTAACTACACTACAGCTGCCTGATAGAGAAAGCCCCATATGTTCATTACTGTTTCTGCTTTAAAATAACAGATGGTATAAAGTTACACTGTATTTCAGAAGTCAGAGGGGGGCAGGAAAGTGAAGGCTTTCTTAGATTCTTATTTATAGACTTTTCAGTTTTGTAATTATTTGGGAAAAATTAAAAACAAATTTTGGATTCCTATTCATTTTGACACCAAAACAAAGCATTCTTTTTCAGCTTTCTCAACTTAATTACTTACTATAAAAGTTCTTTTCACCAAACATTATCATCATTGGTTTTGTACTTGGTGTTCTTTAATGTGAATAAACAAGAGAATAAACTTTGAAAAGAGGTTTTGCTTAAAAATTTTAAAGAGCTTCAACAGTTACTGGAAGATCCACTCAACTAATTTGCTCTTTATTGTGTGCTTTCAGAGCAATTGACTGAGCAGGAAGGGTGTTTAAGTGCCTCCTTGAAGTCCTTTTTCTCCTAAATGTCCTCTGCCCCCTCTGTGTCAAGTGTATGCTCTTGGCTCTGATTGATTGCAATAGCATTAAGTGTTCCTGTCTGTCAGATGATTGACAAGTTGTTGGTCATTTCTACCATGAGGGAAGCAAGTTCTAAATAATGCATCCAAGAGAGTGTGTTGCTTTACATAACAATTGAAATGTTTGTATATGTTAGGACTTAGTAGTACCCAAAATAATGACTTGATTTCAATCAGACCTTTGATGGCAGTATGCTTATCAATACCTTCCATCTGGTTTTGTGTGAGCAGCTTAGTGAGAAAGGATGAGCCATGCAGGCAGTTAGCTAGTATTGTCTTCTAGCATTGTAGCCTTAATATTTCCTTCATCTCTACATATGTTAGTTTGTAAACTAAATGTATAAAAACAAAGGGATATATTCTACAGTCCTTTTTGTTTATGTAACATCTTATACCTATAAAGAAAGGAACTATACTCTGTATTTCCCTTCTGATCACATGTTTAAGAAAGATCTCTCAGAGAGAGAGAGAGAACATAAAAGAGGGATTATTGGTTTGAAGAGAAAACTGAACCTAAAGAAAGGTCTAGAGACCTACAAGACTGACTCCAACTAACAATTTGAGCAACCGTGGAAAGGCTATCATAAATGCCCTTCCCTGATAGTAAGATCAACAACTAACTTATCCACCATCATGGAGCCCTCATCTAGTACCTGTTGGAAACAGAAGCAAACACCCATACCTAAACACTGAGTCGAACTATAATCCAGATGCAGAGAGAAAGGACAAGACCAGGTTGCAGAAACACATAGAGACAGCTGACCTGAACAAGGAGGATCTAATGGGCCCCCAGACTGATAGCTAGGAATCCAGCATGGAATTGACTCGGGCCCCCTGAATATGGGTCTCAGCCAGAAGGACTGAGCAGTCTAAGGGAACTCAGACAGTGGAAACAGGATGTATTCCTAGTGCACAAAAGGACCTTAGAGACACATCCCCCATGGAGGGATAACTGCCTTAACCTAGAGACGGGAAAGAGGTCCTAGTCCCTGCTTCAAATGACTTGACAGACTTACATGACCCCACCTGGATGGCATAGCCCTACATGTGGGATAGGGGTGGGGGGATGGGAGGGGAGGGTGGTCAGGGTGCATATGAGGGGGTAGAGAGGTTAAGAGAGAGGAAGGGAGGGAGGGAGGGGGAACTGGGATCGACATGTAAAATAAAAAAATAATAATAAAATAAAAAAGAAAGATCTCTCAGTCTTGTCAGATTTGTACCCTTTAAGGTTGTATTGGCATTGTGGGTTATTTCCCCTCCCCGCCCATAGAATTACTTATTTGTTCAGTTTAAAACATCTAGTGTTTCCTAAACTCATGGACTTCCTAAATCCTGTCCATGCACCAGCTCTTATGGTTGGTGATAATTGCCGAAGGGGAACAGACCTATAGCCATGTGGGGGTGATCTTGATGACATTCACTGAGGTGGGAAGACCCGCCCACTGTGAACACCATTCCAGAGCAAAGGATTGGGGGTTGTAGAAGATAAAGCCCAGAACTATGATTGAGCGCTGTTATTGAGGCCTTCATTGGTTTCTTCTAGCTTTGTGTCCTGTGTGACTATTTGCTTCCACATCCTTTTGCCTGTGTGACATGACAGACCTGGAACTGTGAGATTAACCCTTTTTTCCCATGAGCTGCTTTTGTCTGAGTATTTTATCACAGTAATAAGAAAATAAAGTCAGTTATACTTGGGAAGAAACAGAAGTGCAAGTGATAACATCTCACACACTTCCTTATCAGGTTGTGCAAAGAAAATGACTGTGGGAAATGGCTGAAAATAATATTTTTGTAACTAGTTTGAAATGAGCATTCAGATGTGCTTCGTAAAATGCAAATTTAGTGAGCTAGAAGATTATTAACACAGTAAAATGTGTCTCGGGTCTTTGGTCTGATGGGTTAAGGCTTATGTCTTAGTTTGTCAACTTGTTTAACTGCTGAAGAAAGGGGTATTAGTTGTAAAGTCAGTAGTTTGGTAGAACGCCTGATGAGCATCCAAGAGGGAGGACAGACAGCTGAGGCAAATTTGAAAACTGTAGGCTACAGACTCTCTTTCCTCGCTTCCCTTTTAAAAACAGGATTTCTTATAGCCCAGCCTCCCTCTGACCGCAAACTCATGTACCTGAGGATGGCCTTGAACTTTGATCCAACCCTCCCACCCCAATTACGAGGTGCTGGGGATCCACACCAGGGCTTCTGTATGCTAGAAAACACTTCACCAGTGGAGGTATATCTCCAGCCTGACTACAGGGATTTCTTACAGGCTTCCTAGATGGTGTTGCTTAATACTTTTCCTGTATATAAGAAATTAAAAATATGTGTGTGATGTTTATGTATATGTTATGCCATACACACACACACACACACACACACACATCTCTCATCTGTTAGTTTACATCTTCGCTTTCATTGGATTACCTAAGGATTTGTCACGCATTAGCTTTTACAGATAACCAACTCTTTGCTTGGTTTAGCACACTGTCCTTTCAGCCTGTTTCATTGACGTCTCCCTAATCTGTTACTTCTTGTCGTCTAATGGGTTTGGGGTTGGCTGTTTGTTGAGGTTCATGATTGTGCTCTTTATTTGAGATCTCAGAATTTTTAAAATTTGTTTTTTAGAGTGCTTATACATGTGAACTCACATCTCTCAGATTTTCTAATGTGAGCACTTACAGCTTTAACCTCACCTCAGTTGCCCTAGCTGAATTGTAGAGGTTCTGATAGGTTGTGTTCTTACTTGTCTTTAGGGATTTTTTTTTTTAATGTCTCTGATTTCTTGAATGACCTACTGTTTATTAAGAAAAAAAAATGTTTTGTTTAGCTTCTGTAGTTTCTATAGTTTGTCTTTCTTTTTTACTTTTTTAAATTTAAATTAAAAGCAATCTTATTTTATATATCAATCCCAGTTTCTTTCCCCATTCTCCCATACCCCTCACCAACCCCCATCCCTCTTCTGCTCCATAGAAAGACCTTCTATGGGGGAATCATCAAAGTCTGTTACATCATTTGGAACAGGACTTAGGCCCTTCCCCATGTGTGTAAGCTAAGAGATTATCCATCTATATGGAATGGGCTCCCAGTGTCCATTCATACATTAGGTATAAATGCTGTTCCATTACCAGTGCCCCATAGACTGCCCAGGCTTCCTAACCGATACCCATGTGCAGGGGGCCTGGTTCTGTGCTATACTGGTTTCCAAGCTGTCAGTCTAGGGTCCATGAGTGTCCCCTTGTTCAGGTCAGATGTTTCTGTGGGTTTCTCCAGCCTGGTCTTGACTCCTTTGCTCATCACTCCTCCCTCTCTACAACTGGATTCCAGGAGTTCAGCTCAGTGTTCAGCTTTGGATCTCTGCTTCTGTTTCCATCAGCTACTGGATGAAGGCTCTAGGATGGCTTATAAGGTAGCCATCAATCTAATTATAAGGGAAGGGAATGTAAGATAGCCTCTCCCCTTTTGCTTAGATTCTTAGTTGGGGTCATCCTAGTCTATCTCTGGAAATTTCCCTAATGCCAAATTTCTCTTTAAACCTATTCCTTCTATTAAGGTGTCTCTTTTCTTGCTCTCCTCTATTCTTCCCTCTAACTCAATCTTCCAGGTCCTTCATGTCTTCCTCCCCCCTCTTCTTCACCTTCTCTTTCTCCCAACTCCCTCTCCCATCCCCCAATTCTCCCAAATTGCTCAGGAGATCTTTTCCCTTTCCCCATCTCTGGAGAACCATGTATGTCTCTCTTAGGGTCCTCCTTGTTTGCTGGCTTCTGTGGAGGTGTGGATTATAGGCTGGTGATCCTTTGTTCTATATACCTGATATATATATATGAGTAAGTACATACCATGTCTGTCTTTTTGTGACTGGGTTACCTCACTTAGGATGGTTTCTTCTAGTTCCATCCATTTGCCTGCAAATTTCAAGATTCCATTTTTTTTTTCTACAAAATAA